CTTTTAAATCAAAATGAAAAATTTAAAGTTTTTATCAAATATCAGTCTTTACTTGTTCATGTTTATGCATGAAATAATGTTCCTGTTGCTTAACTAATTCTAAATTTAGATTAATTAATTCAAAGTAACAAAACAATTCTTCAGCTTTGAAACAGAAGGTAAGCAGCGTAACTTATTCTTAAAGGAAATCTTTTTGGACTCTAAGTTGACTCCTAATGGGTGCAATGTTTTATTTTGGAATTTCTAAATAATTCATTCTGGAATATGTAGAAACCTATAAAAGAAATTACTTCTTTAAAAGCTTGTGGCCTTTTGTGATCTATTTTAAAAATATGCTTTCAAACGATTACATAATGCTAAAATGCCTTAAATACAGCATCATTATGGTCCATAAACTTCAATTGCTGTCATTATAGCTGTTTTGTGGATTAAATGAGATAATGAATTCCTTAAAGCACTTGGTACATAAAAGGCCCTCCCATATGTGGCAGCTATTACCATTGTTAATCTTCATCGATTTGAATTTAACATGTGAGAATGTTAGTGGAAATGTTCCTTGCTTCTATAGCTAAGTCAAGTTCCAGCCTAGTGCTTACTTTTGTAAATAAAGTTTTATTGGAACCAAAGCATCCTGAGACAACATTCGTTTTTTTGCACTGCAGTGTCATAGTTAAGAGCTGAGACAGAGCAGGTGGTTTGCAAAGCCTAAAATGTTTTCTAATTAAGATAGTTTGGTGACCCTTGGCTTAAACTCAAGTTTGTGTGTGTGTGTGTTTTTTTAATAAACTCTTAAGAAAGCTTGTTTTCAAAAACAAGCTGTACTCACTTGAAACACGTTACTTGGACTTGTGTGCAAGTTTCTGATTCAAGGAGAAGTAAGAATTTAATTTGAGTAAAGACCAAGCATGTTTTCAGAAATGCACACAGCCAAAGTGTACCGATCCAGTGGAATAAATTTGGAATCTTTAATGAGTTCAAGAATAAACAACAGGATATTTATTGTCTATTTGATCTAAGTAAGTAAGTCACTATCACATACTTGCTTTCTAGGATTTCAGAGTTGGTTAGTGTATTCATTGGCATCACTTTACTGATATAAATTGTTATGTAAAAAGTTATATTTATGTAATGTATTCACTAAGTGAGTTTGAGACTAAACGTGTACTCAAACCATTTCCATCAATGCCACAGACATGTGCCTTTCCAATATCCTTTGGTCACCTTCATTGTTATTATTATTGTTATTATTATTACACTTTTAGAAAATTTTACATGTGGATTCTACGTAGCAAACTCCAGATCTGACCTCATGACAGTTTATCATGTCTACTTTTAGTGTGCTAGGGGTAACAAATATGAGGCATACAATGTATACTAGTTTTTACTATGCTGTCTTGAACCTCACTTGTTTTGGAAAATGAAATGGAAAATGAAAGATGGAAACTAAAAGGAATATACCCATGGACTCAACCCATGCCATTAAAACAGTAAGCAGTGAACTCTATCATATAAGCTGCTTAGTTTTTTGTAGGAATTTCTTACAGCATGATGATCAATTATCTAATACATATAAACATCACTAGGAAAGAGATGAATTTTGTATCTACAAAAATTGTGTTGGCCTCAGAGCACAATCCTCCCACCTAAATGAGATGACCGTAAATAAGCTTCCATGACTGGCCCTTGCTCTTTTATGCTCCCCTTATTTTTATTTCCTTTCCTAACAATCTAGACTTCTTGGTCTTCATTTAAACTCCTTTATGAGTCACTCAGACTCTTTTTAATTCCCTAGTGTCTCAGATCAATCACACTATAAAAATCCACTAAAGCCAGATCTATTCAAGCTTCCTTTTCTCCTTTCTTATACAATTTCTTAAAACGTCATCTATCTTTCTAAATTGGTTGGAAGCATAGAGCCCTGTGGGGACTGTGCCTGGCTGCAGGAGATTTGACTGGTGTGCTTGAAACATGAATGATATCAGTGGAAAACCCTGTTATGTGGTTGTTTATTCTATGTCTGAGTAAATACATAGGAGTATGAGTGTTTGACCATCTGCAGTAATCCTGTCAAAAGCCAGGAGGAGTCCCTATATGTACTTAGCTTAGTGCATCCTGGTATCCTGAAACTGTAAGGAAACTACTTATTGTAGGGCACCATGTCCTTTTCTGAATCCATAAAAGCAGAGGGTGGGGAAGATGTCATCAGTTTTGTCATGTCTGTGATTTAAACACATTCCTTGCCCCAAAAGTGATATTGGAATACTAGTTATTTAATTTAAAAAATTCTGAAATACCACTGCATGAGAATTTCTCTATATGTTGCCCCAGAATCTTCTGGCTGGAACTGGTACACTATAAATTTATAAGCCTCAAGTTCATTTAAATTCATTTAAATCTTCAATAGTGTATTTATTATAGATTTAATTATTAGTACTTTTTGGTCACTCTTTTCTCTTTGTACTCAAGCTTTCCACTATGCAGTCATTAGCCTGGATGTACTAGGATTTTCCCTGCTTTCTAGATTATAAAAACCAAGGGACATCCTCAACATTGTATCTTTGTGTCAGAATTTTGCCAGGAAACATCATTCTTGGTCCATGTTTCTATCACCATTCAATGACAATCCAATTGATTGTGGGAAAAGTCTAGGTGTAATCTCTTTTTTCAGCCCCATCATTACTATTTATGATCTACATTTCTTGCTGGACTATAAGTGTAATATAATAGGTAACCAATAGTTAAGTGTCACATCATAGACAGTCCTCAACTATGCGAGTTTAGGACTAATATTTTGTTTCAGGAAAGAACCCTCCATGAAGGAGGATATTCATAAATAACTTCCAGTTTCTTGACATTCACATAGATATTTATATTAGTGGATATATGCCATCATATTTTGGCAGAGAAATTTAATGTAATGGTTATAATGTGAATTATTATCAGCTAAGTCGATTTTAAATGTGTTGGGAAAATTCTGGAGGCCAAGGAAAAGTCAATTCAATGGCAAACTAATTTTTCTCCCATTTTTAAAAGCATCAATTTGTTGTACAAGGGGTTTCATTCTGATGTGTCAACATATGCATGCGAAACACCTTAATCAGACTCACCCCGGGCCACTCTTGTCTCGTATCCTGTTTTCTCTTCCCAAAGCTGATTTCAATAATCTTCACTGTTTCATGTGTCCTCAGGCACATTAAGTACTTTGGCCCTATGACCTTGCCTTAACACCTCTCTCTTTCCCCTTCCTCTTCCTCAGACAGGACCTGTTACACATTCCTTTCATTCATTTCCCTTACTGAAGCCAAATTGTTTGAAGGAGTTTCCCCTTAGTATGTCATGCATGCATATATGGTATATTAATCAGATTTATTTCTTGAGTCCTTTGATTTTCCCCATCTCTACTGCCCCCTAAATTATTTAACAGCTTTCATTGAATTTTATTTTTCTGTTTTCATGTATTTTGGTATTATTATTTACTTTCTAATAGAGCAAGCTGATTTTTATGTGAAAATGCTTTTGTTTTGTTGTTGTTGTTGTTGTTGTGGGGCTTGAACTCTGGGCCTGGGTGCTGTCCCTCAGCTCTTCAGCTCAAAGTGAACGCTCTACCACTTGAGCCACTGTGCCACTTCTGGTTTTCTCGTGATTTATTGGAGATAAGAGTCTCATGGACTTTCCTGCACTGGCTGGCTTTGAATCATGATTCTCAGATCTCAGACTCCTGGTAGCTAGGATTTCAGTGCCCAGTGAAAATGCTTTTTTAAAAAAAATAAAAAATAACTCTGATTTATTTTTGCCCTTTAAATAGCTTTTTCTTTTCTGGTACTGGGGCTTGAACTCCCTGAGCTCTTGCTTAGCTTTTGTTTTTGCTGGTCTCAGGACATGAACTCAGCACCTGGGTTTTGTTCCTGAACCAATTTGTGTTCAAGGCAAGCACTCTACCACCTAAGCCACACCACCACTTCCTGCTTTTTCTGAGTAGTTTATTGGTGTTAAGAGTCTCATGAACTTTTCTTCTTGGGTGCCTTTGAGCTACGATCCTCAGATCTCAGCCTCCTGAGTAGCTAGGATTACAAGTGTGAGCTACCAGCACCAGGCCTAAATACTTTTTATATATGGGATTTCTTAAAGTGTAGCATGGCTGTGTGTATGTATCTCACTTATATGCCAATCAATATCTCCATAAATATATAATCACTGAAACTGATAGCTTTTGCACCAAATGAAAAGAGCCACCTCTGGATATCATCAAATATATTCAAGGATCAAAGATTACGAAAGGCACTCAATGAAGAACAATTACTACTCGGAAACTCTAGTACAATACATTGGATGTTATTGAGATGCTTTCTGAATCACAAACCCTACCTGCTACTGATGCAGTATCTTTTCATTTCAGTTTTATTTTCTTTTTAATTGACACACAATAATCATTCAAATGAATGTGATACTATGTGATGTTATAGTACTTGTATTCATTGTGTAAAGAGCAAATCAAGGTAATTAGCATATCTATCACCTCAAAGTTTTGTCCTTTCTTTGTGGTGATTGGAACTTCTGGCCCAGGTTTTACACCTCAGTTTCTAGTGCAATAATTATTGTACTAGCACTTTCAATTTCTCTCCAGCCTCCTCCTTGGTGTTGTTGGGCTGACTTGTCTATTTATAATCTTCTAAAGCTGTGCTTGCTTATATGAATAGCGAACAAGCTAAGGCAACATGAGAAAGGCAGAGAAAATGGAAAGGAGGTAGGAAAACAGCAAGAGTGCCAGTAAGACCCAGGGAAAAAGGGTTACCTTGGCAACGAGACATACTGTGGAGAAGATTGCTCAGGCTCATGGTGACAGGAAATGAATCAGACAACACAGTGACCAGAGGAACCACTTATGAAGCCCACAATGAACTGACTTCGGTGGCAGTCAAGTAATTAATGTACTGAAATTAATTTTCACATTCATGAGAGGCTCTCTCCTGGGCTCACCATTACCTTAGCCAGCCACTCACCTCTGCAAGGTAGAACTCATCATACTGTGATCTGAATCTTTCTCCTTTGTAGTAGTTACTGGCTGCCACAATCACATCCACGGTCACCATGCTCAGAATAAACATGTGGAACACTGATGACCGCATCATTTTCTGAGGAGGCAAAAGAAATAAGCTCTTAATAAACACATAGAGATGCCATCATTAAATGTAATTCATGTGCTGAGACCTTGAGTAACACCAACTGGCACAATGCTCTGCATATAGCCCTGCTTCCCAGATGACAGCATAGCCCTTTCTACTGACAAGTTATCAACCAGGCCTTTTACTTCAAAAAGCTAAAAGATGACTAGAAAGATAGCTTCAGAGACCTTCAGCTAAAAACGAAAAATATATTTCATTTAATTTTTATACAACTTGTATCTTAATTCTCATTGATCCATTAAATGAGTTTTTAGCCTGCATGTGTGGATAATTTTTTTAAGCCAACACAATGAAATAAATATTACTTTATTTTGTGACAAGAGGGAGCATGGCTGACCTTGAAGACATTTTAGAAATGGTCAGAAAACTGGAAAAGTGGGAGAAACTGAAATACTATCTATAAATCTACCATCTATCTATCTTCAGTTTCTCTTTCATGTGTGTGTGAGTGTGTGTGTGTGTGTGTGTGTGAGTGTGTGTGTGTGTGTGTGTGTGTGTGTGTACTTATTGATTCCATAAATATTTTTGGGAAATAATACAATTTATGATCATGATAATGGTTGATATCTACGTTACACTTATTTTATTCCTTGAGCTACTCTAGGTACTTTACAGAGATTGGCTCAGTTCATATTCATAACAGTCCTAAGAAGTAATTACATTTTTAGGACTAAGGACACTGGAGCTCAGAAAAGTGAAATAACTTTCTTGATATCATGGGAGTTGAAGGTGGATCCAGGATTTGGACTTATGTCGTCCCCAAATCTATCTCCTGTATTCAGGTTGAGATAAATAAGTATTCAAAAATTTATGGGCTGGAAAGGTGGCTCAGTGGTAGAGAGCTTGCCTTGCATGCCTGAGGCCCTGGGTTCGATTCCTCAGCACCACATAAGCAAAAAGAAAAAAGCCGGAAGTGGCGCTGTGGCTCAAGAGGTAGAGCGCTAGCCTTGAGCTGAAGAGCTGAGGGACAGCGCCCAGGCCCAGAGTTCAGGCCCCACGACCGGACCACAAAAAAAAAAATTTTTTTTAATTTAGTATTATGACAGTTCCATGTACTGTTACTATGTTCCACATTTTATACATACATGACTCCTTTCATTTGTTTTCGTTCCATAGTCCTCTATAGTAGGATATATGACTCATGTTTTACAGAGCTCAGAGTTACAGAACCAGGTCCTACACCTAAGCTTGTTTAAAGTGTATTTTGTAATTGAGGAGTAGAGAATATCTAAACAGAGGTGATGATAAGAGGTTACAGACAACAGAAGAAGTGATGTCCATGTTTAGGAGCCAAGCACCTAGCCAAAAACACTAAGCTTCATTCCTCTGTCCTACTGCACAGGGCTAGTGGTGCCACACACCTCTTCCTGAGGCCCTGTTTCTCTCCCATATGGTTGGGCATGTCATACGCTCTTGCCATTTGATGTGACCTGGAAACTCTTCAGCTTGCAGAAGGATAAGGAAATTAGGAAGCTTGTTTCCAATACTGTCTCCAGTCATCTGCATTGAGTTTCAGTACAGCAACATTGCCACTTCCTTGCCTGGTGACAGGGTCAAAATGGCTAGAGCCAGCATTCCACCATTTATGGATGCTGTGCCCTGTGGATTTGCTCAGACATCTCAGTACCTTGGTTTTCTTCTCAGTAAAAGGAACGTAAAGGTGCCTGCTCCAATCTTAAATGGGTCAGCATTGATAAAGTGCTTTGAAAAGTGCTAGCACATTTCAGTAAAAATTAGAGAATTCTGTGGGTATTTCTTTTTCTGTCAGGAATGAGAAATTAATTTTCCCGAGTCAAAGAATTAACTACACTGTGCCTCTGAATGAGTGCAGAGCCAAGGGATAAAACAGTGATAAAGTTCCAATCAACGGGAGGTGTCAGAGCCATGGGAAAAACAGATTTAATTCAGTGTGGTTCCATCTCACCCCAGCTGTTGAGGTATTCCTACTTCCACTTGCCTTTATTTGAAGGGTTATATAAAATCAAATTCCAGGACTGCCAATCAACATGCACTTGAATTCACTTGGAGGAGCGACTGACCTTCCTAATAAAGATGAGCAAATTGCAGACAAGTTTCTCTTCCTATTAGAATTTCGATTGTTATATAGTCTTTCTTTGCACTGAGAGAGTTAAATTCCTTAACTATTATTCTCTCTCTATACTCTTTTCAACATAATGTTCCATTAAAAAAAACATTTCAACTGATTTCCATTTCATCTGCATGACAGGAAAGACACAACTTTCTTTTTCTATTTTCCTTAGCTGTGTATTTATGTCTTAAGTAAACTGTTATTACTGAAAGGCCCAAACAAAGCTTTTAGCCATGGCTGTCAAAAAACTTTTAAATTGGTTTTGTAACTGTCACAGCTTCACTTTGGTGCTGTCATTGTAATTAGGCTGGTTTTTGTCTGAATGTCTACATGTCTCTGTTGGTATAAAGTCATTAAAATAATCACCTACAATGGATTTTGATATGCTATAATCACCATTGCTTAGCTGACTTTCTCCAAGGTAATAACTTCCAAATATTAAATAAGAATTAAGGTGATAAGTATGTACAGCAGCTAAATTTAAACATTAAAACCAGGAACTCCAGCCCTAATACTAGAGCTGGTGACACAGGCACTTGAACATAATTCAGTTCAACCAATATTTGAAACTGGCTTTCTTCATTTTCCATAATGTAAAATGGCTGGTAACACTATTCTGACTCATGCTTATAACATCTACAGGGGAGCCTAAATCTGTACCTTCCATTTCTTTTTCCTTATAAAAATTGAAGAAAAATGTTCAGATTGAATCAGTGCCACAAAAGATTGTCTACCTTAAGGTTTCTACATTTGCCTTCTTCAACATGAAGGTATAATCTACCTATGTATTTATGTAGAGCTGCACACACACATACGCACTCTATAGACATTTATACATATGTATGTATATGGATGTGCATGTGTTTATAGTTCTCTATATATTTAATATAAGGCTTTTCAGACATATGCATTTCACTTTTTTAAAAAGTTCTCTTTAATTGCAGTATCATTTTAATTTACATTAAAAGAAATTACAGACAAGTTCTGAATGTTTTTAGTTTGGCTTTGATCCAAAAACATCTTGTTTAGGTGACAGCTGCAATTATCAAAGTATGAAGAAGAGACTAGAATAGAATTATCTCCAAGACATAATAATCTGTCAGGAGCCTTTCTACTGAAGCTGTGGTTCCTGAACCAATAGCACCCTGGAATCGTATTAGAAATGCAGAATCTCAGACCCCACCTCAGACTTACTGAATCTAAATGTGCCACCTGTTCCCAGGTGATCTGTGTGGCTAATTCAAGATTGAGAAGCATCTTTGTAGAGGATGAACTGGGTAACCTATAAAATTATTTGCCACTTTACAATTATGCGATTCTAAAATGCTATCAAGATCAAGGGGAATATAACAAATATAGATTATAATGATATTATGATAGCATATTAGGATACGCCTACACAAAATTGTATGTGAGACTTATTCACCACACATCCCTATCAAATTCCAGGTCAAGAATAAACTACATCAGTAAGAGAAAGTACTTGCTACTTTCCCCCCTAACTTTTGGGGGCTTTAAGAAGATGCCATCAGACCCTTTCATAAAGTCAAGGGATTCAGAGGGCTTTTAGCAGTTGGAAAAGGCAAGAAAATGGTGTTTTACCTAGCTTTAAATTTCTTAATTTAAATTGATTAATTTCTAAAAATCTAAGCTGATACCTTGTTTTTTTTGCCCAGTGCAAACAATTTTGAACTTCTGATCTGCAGAACTATCACATAACAAATTTGTGTTGTTTTATATCATTAAACTCATAGAAATTTGTTTTAGGTGCAATAGGAAACTACATTATTGACAATGATTTTTGTAGGACTAGCAAAGCAGCTCTTTTGTGATATGATTGCATGCCAATGCTGTGTTATAAAAGCCTACCTCACCAAAGAGTTACATTCAAGGAGACTTGCCAGGAGGGTGTACTGTAAAATTTATTACTACAATTGAAACATTATACCAACTATGGCTTTTATCTTGCTTCATATAAGAAAGTGCAATGAGACAATAGGTCTGAAAAAAATGATACCGAATCCAACTTCAAATAGAAGAAAAAGAAAGATCCAATTTTTTAAAAAAATTATTATTCAGTTTTGAGCTTTCCTATCAAATGATAGCTCTCAAGGTACTGTAAAGTCTAAGCTAAACATGGCTAAGGGTCTTCATACAATTTAAAATGAATAGGAACAATATCTTTTTTTTATCAAAGTAAGAGAGTTTATTTTCTGGAGTGCTTGACGTGTGCTACATTTCATTTCAAACATTACTGCATGCTGATGTCATAACATAATTTGATCCTCAAGAATCATGTCAAATAAGTATTTCTCCTGTTTCTTTGTCATATGCAAACGTTTCTCAAAAAGAATAAATAATTTTCCAAGCCCCACAGAGTTAGAAAGCAGAATCAGATAGTTCAAGACCAAAGAAGATGCTCCCTTGAACTTGTTTGAGCATTTGAGAGTATTTATACACTAGAACCCATAAGAGGCAGTTTTTCCCTAAGGATTTACAGCATGACTCTGACCTTGACTTAACCTCCTAGTCACATGGGTTATTCACAACGGAATGGATATTACATCTATATCTTTAGATTAAAACATGATTCATACGTGGGAATAGTTGGCCTATAATCTTGTGCAGAGTAGGCATCTTGAATGCTGTTATTCTTGTATACCATATTGGGAAATCACTCTAAGAATTTAAAGCTACAGAAACAACTAGTGACTTATGGATAAGAAGGTTTAACATGGAAAATCAAGCAGAAGAATAAGAAATTTTCAGATAAACCATAAGAATTTATAGACTTTCAAAATAGACTTTCATTTTTAATGGTATACAGGTTTAAGTACTTTACGGGAATTCTATTAAATTT